ACACACACACACACACACACACAGGTTTATTTTCTAATTATTATTTTCCATGCACCACTGCTCTCAAATTACTCTGCTAAATATTTTTTCTTTCTCATTGCTATTCAGATTCTCGTCTTGCAGTATCGGTTCATCAGTCTGCGTCTGTCACTCACACAGTCCATCCGTCTCTTTGTCTCTGGCAGCATCAGTCAGATAAACAGTAAACTTACCGCTGCGCTTCCCTTCTTCTCAAGAATCCTCTGACCGTCCACCGTGTCCTTTATCTCCTAAACAAAGAAAGCAGGTCAGAGACATCACTGTCAGTTACTCCGATCGTTCTAGTTCATTTCCGAAGTAAAAACGCCAGAAACATTTTCTGAACTGAGAATTTTCTGCTTCTGTTTGTCAGACATTACATTTTCTGACTTTTTCAGGGCATTTTATACTATTTAAAAAAAGTGCACAATACCAAACATGAACACCTGGGTCCATACTGTAAATGTGCCAGATCTAGCTTAAAATGGACATTTTCATCTGCAGTCACGAGCAGATTGATGAAATTATTAAACACGAAAAAAACCCAAACCAGCAAAAACACAGACACCAGCCAGAACCATGTCACAATGAAAGCAAACCACGTTGAGCCTGCAGCTGATTTTAAATCTGATCAGCAAATTATTTTGGTTCCTTAACGTTTTGGCCCACAAATTCTGTGCTGTGATCTGCAGATCATCGTGCAAACAGACGCTCGCACCTCCACACAGCATAAAGGGAGGGTGGCGCTAAAGGCAGACAGTAAAACACATAAGCTGGGTGAATAAACAAAGAGAAGAGTAAACAGATTTTGGTGCTTTTTAAACAGGTCCACAGTTCCTGGGTTCAAAGTGACACATTTGTAAAGGTTAAAAACCTCAAAGGGACCGTCTCCTTTTATCTCTAGCGTGGGCCGCTGCATCAACCGTGTAAAGACCTTTCAGAGGACCTGCTCAAAGCTTCGCTGCAGTGCTGCAGACCACTTCAGCTCTGCTGGGAGAAATCCTGGTAAAGGTGATCGGGCTTTTTCCATTAGGACTCCTAAAGAGATCTCCTGCCCCTTCACACCAAAATACTCTTTTAAATCTCTTCTTTAAATTTTCTCTTTTAAACGGCTTTTGTGGATCTTTGGTGTGTGGCCATGTTTTCGATCCCGTTTTGTCTCCTTATTATTGTTTCTTTTTATTCTTTGCATTGTTCTTGTAGAAGTGTTTCACCCTTTATCATCCAAGTATCACACAGTGATAGACTTGTTTTAGAATCCTGAATTTTCTCTCTAGCTCAAAGAAGATGAGCAGTAGCGCTAAC